ATCCATCCATCCATCCATCCATCCATCCATCCATCCATCCATCCATCCATCCATCCATCCATTATCTTCCGCTTGTTCTGAAGTCGGGTTACGGGGGTAGCAGCTTGAGCATGGAGGCCCAGACATCTCTTTCCACAGCCACCTTTTCCAGCTCTTCTGGGAGGATTCCAAGGCATTCCCAGGCCACATGAGGGACAAAGTCTATTCAGCGTTTCCTTGGTCTTCCCTTGGGTTTCCTCGCAGTTGGACATGTCCGAAGCACCTCAACTGGCTCCTCTCGATGTTGAGAAGAACCGGTTCTACATTCGAGTCTCTCCCGGATAACTAAACTTCTCACCCTATTTCTAAGGGAAAGTACAACTATTCTGCGTAGGAAACTCATTTCATCCTCCTGTATCCGCTATCACATTCTTTTGGTCACTACCCAGAGCTTGTGACCATAAGTGAGGGTAGGAATGTAGATCGGCCAGTAAAAGGAGAGCTTTGCCTTACAGCTCAACTCCCTTTTCACCACGACGGACCAGTACAGAGTCTGCATTACTGCAGATGCTGCACCAATCTGTTTGTTAATCTCACACTCCATTCTTCCCTCACTCGTGAACAAAACCCCAAGCCTCCACTTGAGGCAGATCCTCACCCTCGACCTGAAGAGAGTAATCCACCCTTTTCCGGGTGAGGACCATGCCCTCAGATTTAGAGTTGCTGATTCTTATCCCAGCCACTTCACTCTCGGCTGCAAACCACTCCACTGAGAACTACAAATCATGGCAGGATAATGCCAACAGGACCACATCATCTGCAAAGAGCAGAGAAGGAATCCTGAGGCCACCGGAATCCCTCCGCTCCCTGGTTGCACCAAGAAATTCTGTCCATAAAAGTTATGAACAGAATCGGTGACAACGGGGAGCCTTGGCAGAGTCCAACTCCCACCCTGAAGTGGTCCGATGTACTATCGGCAACGCAAACCAAACTCTCGCACCACTTGTATAGGGACTGAACAGCCCGTAAGAACGGGCCCCAATCCCATACTCACAGAGCACCCCCCACAGTGCACCTAGAGGAACATGTTCAAAAGCCTTCTCCAAGTCCACAAACCACATGTAGACTGGATGAGCAAACTCCCATGACCCCTCGATGACCCTAGTGAGTGTAAAGAGCTGGTACAGTGTTCCATGGCCAGGATGGAGACTGCATTGTTCCTCCTGGATCTGAGGTTCAACCAACAATTGGACTCACTTCTCCAGTACCCCTGAATAGACCTTACCAGGGAGGCTAAGTAGAGTGATGCCCCTATAATTAGAGCACACCCTCCAGTCCCCCTTTTTGAAGTGGCACTGCCCCCGATGTCCACGTGATGTTGCAAAGACATGTCAACCAAGGCAACCCCACAACATCCAGAGCCTTAAGGAAATTTAAGCTCTCTTGGAAGTGTGAATTGAAGATCTCAGTGCAAATCTCAACCACCCCCGGATCACTGCTTCCACATAGCTTTTTAACTACTGTGACAATCTCAGCCATGGTTATGGACAGATCAACCCCGAAGTCCTCCGACTCCGCTTCCTTCATGGAAGATGTGCCGTTGGGATTGTGAATGTCCAAGAAGTCTTCTTTCCACCTCCCGAAGACATCACTGGTTGAGGTCAACAGCAATCCACCTTCACTGAAAACAGTATTAGTAAAGCGCTGTTTCCCCCTCCTCAGCCACCTGATGGTTTTCCAGAATCTCTTCTTCTTTTTCTGTGTCTTTATCCAAGTCCTCACTGAACTCCTCCCACATCCGAGCTTTTGCCTCAGCAACAGCCAAGGCTGTGGTACAAGGAATACCTGAGGGCTATGCTGCCCCTGGAGTTCCCCCAGCCACCAAGGACCGATAAGACTTCTTCATCTTGACAGCCTCCCTAACCAGGAGTGTCCACCACTGAGTTCGTGGATGGCCACCACGTGAAACACTGAAAACCTTGCAGCCATAGCTCAAGGCAGCTGCCTCAACAATTGAGGCGTGGAACATGGTCCACTTGGATTCAATGTCCCCCTCCTCATCTGGGATATGGTTAAAGCTCTCCCATAGGTGTGAGTTTAAGATGTCTCTGATGGGTTCTTCTGCCGGGCATTCCCAGGAAACCCTCACTACACGTTTGGGTCTACCGGGTCTGTCCGGCATCTTCACCTGCCATCTAATCCAACTCACTACCAGGTGGAGATCTGTTGACAGCTCAGCTCTTCTCTTCACCCGAGTGTCCAAAACAAATGTCCGCAAATCAGATGACACAACTACAAGCCAATCATTGATGTACGACCTTGGGCGTCCTGGTGCCAAGTGCACATATGGACACCCTTATTTTCGAACATGGTGTTTGTGATGGACAAACTATGACTAGCGCAGAAGTCCAACAACAGAACACCGCTCAGGTTCAGATCAGAGGAGCCGTTCCTCCCAATCACACCCCTCCAGGTCACACTGTCGTTACCCACGTGGGCATTGAAGTCCCCCAGCAGAATAAAGGAGTTCCCAGCTGGTGCACTTTCCACAACCCCTCTCAAGGACTCCAAGAAAGCTGGATACTCTGAACTGCCATTTGGCGCATAGGCACAAAGAACAGACAGAGCCCATCCCCCCACTCGAAGGTGCAGGGAAGCTACCCTCTCATCTACTGGGGAAAACTCCAACACACATGTCAGGGGGCTAGGAGTGGATCTACACCAGCTTGGCGCCTCTCACCATGGGCAATTCCAGAGTGGAATAAGGTCCAGCTCCTCTCCGGGAGATCGGTTCCAGAGCCCATGCTGTGCATTGATGGGAGCCCAACTATATCTAGTCGATACCTCTCAACCTCACGCGGAAGCTCAGGCTCCTTCCCCACCAGAAAGGTTACGTTCCATGTCTCAAGAGCAAGCTTTGGTAAGCCAGGGTCAGAGCACCAAGGCCTCTGCCTTCAGATACTGCCCATGACATCATGCACCCAACTTTTTTGGCCCCTCTTGCAAGTGGTGGGAGGCAAACCCATGTTGCTCATTTGGGCTGAGCCCGACCTGGCCCCATGGGTAGAGAGTAGACCCAGTCACAGGCACTCGCCGATGAGCCCCTCCCCCAGTCCTGGCTCCAGGGTGGGGCCCCGGTAACCCACGTCCGGGCAAGGGACATGGAGTTCCTAGGCAGTCTGCTCCTCAGATAAATATTGTTAAGTTTTTTATATATATATCTGTATATGAATGTTTCTGTTCATTGCCTTGAGATGACTTCTGTTGTGACTTGGCATTATATGTATGTATGTATATATAAAGAAAAAAAACAAGCGCTGGCAGCCTCAGCCGCAGCGGTGTTCTGTGTTTATATGTTGTTAATAAAAAGATCTAAAAAAAACAAAAAAAAACGGGAGCACTAGCTCTGTAGGCCACACATCAAACCAGCCCACCAGGAAATCTCCAGACCCTCCCGCAGCCATGCTAGACCTAAGTTTAATTCGCTCGTGACAAATTCCTTAATTTCTCACCATTTCAGTCATGGCATCAACGGAGGAGGAAGAGATCACTGCCTCTTGGAAAAAAAAACAAAAGAAAAGGCCAGATCAGGGATGAATTAAGAAGGGAAATTTAATATATTGGTGTCGCATGCAAAACAGTCCGCCGCTGGGCAGTTTATTGTGCGACACCGCGTACGCATATGTGGTCGTAAAAATTGAGCTTTGCACGGACATACCCTGGGGGGTATGCTTGTACCTCCGCGTACGTATGTGCGTACCTCTGCGTATGGATGTATGTAGGATAGGGCTGAAACGATTCCTCGAATCATTCAAGGACCTCGATTACAAAAAATCCTCGAGGCAAATTTATCTGCCTCGAAGCTTCGTTAAACTGTTCACTTTCATTTTTCTAGCCGGACGGTTTTTGTGTTACACAACGCTAGCACTTCCGCTAGCGCTTCTGCCTGTCGCGCGCGCATGTGTTTACAGCTATGGAGGGAAACTGAGAACAGCCCAGAAAACGACAGAAACTATCCAAAGTTTGGGAACATTTTAAATTAAACAGAAAAAATAACAGCGCAATGCATCCACTGCAAAGCCGAACTCTCATTCCACAACAGCACGTCATCGATGTTGCAGCATCTGAAAACTCCCGCTGTATGAATCAAACTCGTCCGCAGCTGGGAACCGGTATCATTTATGTTCTCTTTGCAAAATACGTGAACCTAAATGTATGATAATCTGTCATGTTAGTCATGTAAAATGAGGCATATTTTTGCTAACATAACGTTACACTACATCTACCTGGCAGGGTAGCTTGTGTGAGAAAGAAAGAAAGAAAAAAAAAACCCACGCAGGACTTAATGCACGTTTGTTAACGATAGAAGCAGCAACAGACTGACGCATTTATTTATTGCTGTACTTCCATCCTGACTCTAATGAGATATTTAGGGTGAATATTTCAAGTGTAAATGTATTTACACAAGGTAGTAGGATTTATTATTTTCTTGCTACTGCTGTTTATTACTTGAAAACTGGGAGTAATCTACATTTATTACTACTGTTGTCATATTTGTGTATAGCTAAGCAAACAAGACAAATAATAGTCTTAATAAAAAAAATAGCAAAGTATTTTTAACATTTACAATTACAAGTTAATTCTGCAGAACTCAAATGTACAAACTTTTACATTATCTATCTTACTTAATTTCTAACATATAAAGATTCCGTTCAGTTTTCCAATCCATAAAAATTATTTTACAGCATTTAGATTTTAGAACACACATAAATAAAAACATTTTAATTTTATCCATTTAGATTAATGGTTAAAAATAATTCAGTGACAGAGGGTTTTAATTAAAGCATCCTCAAACATGAATAAAAGCTTAAAATGCATAAATCAAATACAACTGACACTAATGTTACTTTGATTGCAGCAGGTCATCAAAGTGTAGATTACTTAACAATATTACATAATTTTATAATATCCAATGAAGTACACTTGAAAATGTATTAAGGCATAGCTATGAACAAACAAATAATATTTTATTGTACTTCTTTTCAGTAAATCGCAGAGTCACACATTGGACAGGTTTGTGCAAAGGGCACCAGGATGTTCAGTTCTGCAAGCAGCAGACTTCACCAACAGCATTTTAAATATGATCATCACGGACATGCGGCCGCTGTCTGTGGTGGAAGATGAAGGCTTTCAGAAAATGATCTCAACCTTCAATCCAAATTACGTCCTTCCCTCCAGATCCTACTTTATAAAAATGGTGGAGAAAAAGTATGAAGAAATCACAGACAAGCTGAAAAACACAACTCCTTTAAAGACTTGAGCAACGGTCGAACACATACACACTTGTATGTTGAGACATTTAAGAAAGGCTTATTGATGCTACTTGCAAGAATACGTTCAGTATATATTGGCTTTGAAAAGTAAAATCTTTCATTTTACCCTGTATTCATCCACTCACCTGCTCACACAGACTCATGTTCGTACTGCTGCTGTTCAGTTTTGGTACTATTAGTAATTAGTGCATTCTTAGTTTAGTGTATTTCTTAGTTATCTTAGATCTTATTATTGTTTTTCTTTACATTTTATACTTTTGTTGGATGTAACTTACCCTGTGTACACAATTTCGTTCCACCACGTGCACCAAATATGTAAATGACAATAGAAACTTTGATCCTTGAAAACGCACAAGTGGATTTTGTTATAGCTCAGACTTTCAAGTTGAATTTATAAAGGGCAGTGTTTACCGTTTTTGCTTTAATTTGTTTTCTATTTCATGTTAATGTACTTTTTTCACTTCTGTGTTTTTACATTTTAGAAATAAGGAAGTTTTGCTACACTTCAGAGAAATGGAGGTTCAACATGTAATTACATTTTAAAATAAAATATTTTAAAAAGAGGAATTAAATGGATTATTTACTTAATGTTCTTTTTCGTGTATTTAAATGAGTGATTACTGCAGAACCTGACAAATTTTGTTTTCGATTACTCGATTAATCGCAAGAATATTCTATAGATTCCTCGATTACTAAAATATTCGTTTACAGCAGCCCTAATGTAGGAGTATACTGGGGGCTTTATTCAGGCAGACTTTTTTTCTTTTCTTGTCAGCCTTTGAGTCTGTACTGACTTCCAAGGTCTGAAATGGCCAGATTAGGGTGCATTCTACTGGTCCGTGCTTATGAGCCTCTTCAAGGTCATTTCCATGCGTGCCCGCACTCTGAGCGTTACTTAGAGTGGCAGCGAGTGTGTTCTCTGGACAGATGGATGGACCGTCTGATCAGCAGGGGTTACACACTGCAGTTCGTAGCTCACCCTCCACTGTTCAGAGGGATTATTGAGATGGTTCTGTCATCTCCAGAACAGAGCTCGTCTCTCCAGTCAGAAATTCAGGAATTCCTGATGAAAAATGTGATTTCCTGAGTTCCCAACGGAGAGGAAAACGCAGGGTTTTACTCCCACTACTTCCTGGTTACGAAAAAAAATGGAGGGATGAGACCTATTCTCATCCTGTCCATGTTCAACAAATCGATCATGGAGAGACAATTCCACATGCTGACAATCAAACAGCTGCTGGAGAATGTTCACCAGAACGACTGGTTCACCTCCATAGATCTGAAGGATGCATATTTTCACTTTCCCATCATTCCGAAGCACAGGAAATTCCTGCGTTTCTCCTTCCAGGGGATTCCGTATCAGTACAACAGGCTACCGTTTGGTTATTCCCTCGCCCCACGCACTTTCTCAAAATGCGTGGAGATGGCTCTGCAGCCGTTACACATGGCAGGAATGAGAATTCTTTTTTATCTGGGCGAGCTACTTTTATTAGATCAGTCCAGGCAGAAAGCAGCTGCGCATTCCAAAATGCTAGCGTTACACCTGCCAAACCTGCGGTTTTCTATAAACTGGGAAAAAGAGGGAGTTCCTATCAGGAGCCCTACGTCACACGTCTCGGTTTTCACAGACGTGTCCCTGTCAGGCTGGGGAGGAACGTGTCTGTCCCAGGCAGTGGGAGCACAGTGGCTGGACCACATGTCGCTTTACATAAATGTGTTAGAATGTCTCACGATCTGAAATGTGATTCAGCATTTGCTCCCCATCCCCCCACTGTGGGATCAGCATGTTCTGATCCACACAGACAACAAAGTGACGGCAGCTTACATAAACCGTCAGGAAAGCGTGCGCTCAGCCCAACTGTTATACATCGCGAGGCAGCTGCTGTGTTGGGCACACAAAAACTTGCTCTCCGTCAGAGCAGTGTACATTCCCGGCGTCCTGAACTGGGGAGCGGACATAATGTTGAAGGGCGGTCCCCGCCACAGAGACTGAAGCCTCCATCCAGAGCTGATCTCTCGGATTTGGAGCAGATTTGGTCGAGCAGCAGTGGATCTGTTCGCCACACGGGAGAACGCCCAGTGTCAATTATGGTCCTCACTGAGCCCACGAGACGACCTATCGTTAGGGGTGGACGCCTTCGCTCACAGCCCATGGCCATAAATGCTCCTTTATGCGTTCCCTCCAGTCCAGGGAGGAAGAACTGTCAGTCATCCTCGTCCTCATAGCTCCCAAGCGCATAAGCGCCCCGTGCTTCCCGAATCTGCAGCGACTGATATTGGATCGGCCGTGGAAACTGCCTTGGAGGGGGGACGCTCTCCTCCAGGCTGGAGGAGCAATCAGAAGTTACCCAGAAATAGGTCAGCACCTTTGGGTTTGGCCGCTGAACGGATCTGTTTAGAAAAGATGGCAGTGTGACTGGATTGGGCGGTTTACTGCCAATTGGGTGGTTTTCATTCTGATTTTGCTTGGAACTCTGGGAAGATTTTTGTTGGATTGTTGCGTTTTGCTACATATTGTTAAATTACTTTGGCTTGTACTGATGTACGTTCATGTTCAAACAGTAAATATACTGTAACAATATATAGATTGGGCAGATTTTTGTGAGATGTGGCAGTTTTTAATAGATTTTTGGGCTGAAAAACCTTCACTCTATCTGGCAACACTGAAAGATGGGCCTCCCACAGGATGTGGTGCATACGATCCAGGGCGCACGAGCCGCTTCCACCACAGTGCTGTACACATCAAAAGTGGACAGTTTTTCAGCGCTGGTGCGCAGAGAAAGGCGTGGAGGCCATCTCATGTCCATTAGGTGGCGTGCTGTCATTTCTACAGCAACTGATGGACAGAAATTTAGCGTTCAGCACAATTAAAACTTGTGCTGCAGCTATTTCTTCCTGTCATGAGGGTTTTGGTGATAGAAGTTATAAAATAGTTTCTAACCACCTGCTGATGAAGTGTTTTCTGAAAGGTGTACGGAGACACATACCGGTGTCACGTCCACTAGCTTCACAGTGGGACCGAACAATGGTCCTGCACGCTCTGATCAAAGCTCCTTCTCAGCCTTTAGATCAGGTTTCATTTAAATTTCTGTCACTTAAAACGGCCCTACTGTTAGTTCTGACGTCGGCAAAGAGAGTGAGTGATTTATCTGCTCTCTCTGTTGCTCCCTCATGTCTCAGAATTCAAGCTGACGGCAGTTCAGCTGTACTGCGCCCTAACCCTGCTTTTGCTCCTAAAAGCATCACAAGCTCATTCAGATCGAGAGTGATAACCTTGGATAGGTTTTATCCTCCTCATAATTCTGAGAAGGAAGCAACATATCACCTCCTCTGTCCCGTGTGCACGCTTTCGTGTTACGTGGCACACACAGCTGCACTGCGCCGCTTTCAGCGTCTGTTCGTGCATTACAGGAACAGCTCTTCAGGACACCCTCTGTCCACCCAGCGCCTCTCACACTGGTTGTGTGAGGCTATTTCTGAAGTTTACAGTTCATCTGGACTGGATCTTCCAGAGAATCTCAGAGCACATTCCACCAGAGAGTTTTCATCCTCCACGTCTCTGCATGGAGGGATGACAGTGGAGGATATTTGTATGGCGGCTGCCTGGTCATCGCCGTGTTCACTTATTCGTTTTTATCTACATGATGTTTCTACTTTCTCCATGACCCATTCTGTTCTCAGGGTTCTGACAGAATGATTATTTGTTTCATGGAGCCTCACTTTTGAGCTCACACCTGCCTGCATGCAGTCGCAGTGTGAGATATTTATTATCAGTCACAAGTTCATGACTGCTGATTTTATCTTTATTAATCGTTTCATCCTGAGGAGCTGTTGGTCTGCTCTGTTCATCGTTACACTGTTACAATTTGTAACCTCCGTTGTTCCTATTCACAGCAGCAGGTCTGTTGTCTCAGCCTCTTTCCTCACCAGAGATCAATTTTCCCCGGTGCACTGCTGCACATGGAGCGCGTAATTACACACACAGAAGGCTGAGTGATGAAATGTTTTTTGTGCAAGCAGGTGCTTCATGTTGTGTCTGAGTGGACCCAGTGAGGCATAGACTACATCCTGCTTCACCTTTAACCCACTAGCGACAGCTCTTAAAGGGCGAAGCCTATACGAAATAGAACGTTGGTTACGTACTGTAACCCCCGATTCTGAGTATAGGCGCAGCCCTTTAAGCTCTGGGCCTCACTGTTCCTAAATGGCTGAAGAAAAAAGCTATATGGGAGCCGATTGCCCGGTCTCACCGTAATTTATACGGACCGGGGGTGGGGCCCACACAGCCGGTAGGCATGGACTAAAGTTTTCAGTGCTGCACTGCGCGAAGGGATAAACCCACTAGCGACTGCCTTAAAGGGCTGTGCCTATACTCATAGTATCTGGGGTTACAGTACGTAACCCATGTTTTCTCTTGCGTTTCTTGCAGGCCTGAAGAGAAGATCAAGCTCCTGGAGAAGAAAGTGAATGACTTGATAGAAGAGAGCTGTGTGGCACAGAGTACAGGAAACCTACAGTTGGTGAGATTCTGACTCGGTTTTGAAATTTTCTAAAGTAAAACTGACACGTGACTGTTCCCAACATACATATTCACAAGGCATACATTGCTAGATATTTGCAAAATGTTCACATATGCTTATTAGTTTCAGCAGGTGTGAGCAATTTGCTCTTCTTTTGCACTGGATAGCAGTTGATTATAAAAGCATCATCAACTGAAGTGAATGGACTGTACTTATATACCCAGTAGCGCCTTTCTATCTTATCAAGATACTCAAAGTTCTTTACAACAATCTGTGCCCTCATTTACCCATTCATACAGCACTCTACTATAGCTCTACAAAGACAATCAGAGTTTTATCACATTCATACACCAATGGGACTCACATCGGAGGCAATGAGGGGTTCAGTGTCTTGCCCAGGGACACTTCAGCATGTGACTGCTGGTGGAATTGAACCCCCAACTCTCCCATTGAAGGACAACTGCTCTAACCACTCAATCACAGCCGCCCCATGTGACAGAGAAAAGTAATGTTTTCTCAGATTATATGCATTTTTAACCATTTATTCATAGAATCTAGCTGCACCAGGCCACAGCACTCATCTCAATCATGTCTTTTATGACATGCCTGCCCTTTTCTGTGAAAGTAACAGTGTAGCAGGTTGCTAAACTTTCTTCTATTTTTTGTTGTTGTTTTCTGAGACAAAATTACCACTTAGCTAGCAGCAGAAGGTAAATATCTGATACAAACTGCATGTCACAAACAGTGCTGTTAGATATCTGGTCAGCTGTGCTTGAGTTCCCCATGCATAGACATGTAATCTGATTCTCTTTTCAACAGACACATTTTTGGGGCTGCATACACTGATTCAGTGGACACCCACAGACTAGTTCAGTGGGCAACATTTACAGTATTCAGGCCTCATTATGACTGAATGCAAAAAATCACACACAAAAGTCATTTAAACTAATTTAACCCACTAATGAAACACTTAGCTCACTTGACAATAGTTAAACCTAAATTTGGTCATGAATACATGAAGCAACATGTAGCTTTTTGTGTGTGTTTTCACAGGCTCTTGAAAAAGCCAAAGAGGCGGGCAGGAAGGAGAGAGCGCTGGTCAGACAGCGGGAACAGTCTGGCACTGCCGATCACATCAATCTAGACCTCACCTACTCTGTAAGTCAGGCTCAGCTGGCCAGAACGTTTTCCTGATGTTCTGCTCTGAAGATCAAACTAATGAAACTGCATTCATGTCATGAGATTTCACGTGTTGACATTTTTTCACTTCTTTAATAAAAATAGTTGTGACTTATGCTTTATTTCTGTCAAAATTGATTCATTTGGCCTTTCTGATTTAAAAAGCTCCTGTCTGACAGTTTTTATTCCAACAGGAAGTAACTGTCAAGGGAATGTGTATTAATTACACTCACCATGCTCCATAATTTTACTATTTACTGTGATTACCTGTAATCTGGTGTGCGTACCAGTAACCATACTTGATCAGAATGACAAGATTTAGTCTGTTAAATCCTATTTTTGTTTTTCACTTTTCCACGTTGTAGGGAGAGACACTAGAACAGGGTACAGGTTTGACTTCAGCGGCTGTGGACATTACCTCTCAGCTATGCAGGCAGAGCTCTTTGTGAAGTTTTTCTCTAGTTAGTTTTATCTGACTTATTGGTCTGTTTTTTAATTACTTTTGTGGTTGTTGTTGTTTTTAATGCTTCTGTCATTATCAGGTATTGCTCAATCTTGCCAACCAATATGAGAACAATGAAATGTACCCAGAAGCCCTGAACAGCTACCAGGTCATTGTCAAAAACAAGATGTTCAGTAATGCAGGTGAGCAGGTCACTTACTGTAGCTTCACACTCATTACAGATGTGAAACAACATGGCCGCTCTTGCAAACACGTTTAACTGTCAAATCATCAGTGTTCAGTGTACTATAATCTGTACTATAGCAATGATTTCTAAACACACACACAACGTGTTGGAAAGGTATTTCAGACATTTTAGAAGTTCTAAACGATGTGGAGCCATTTCTCTAACCTTCTAAAGTCCAACATTAACACCATCCATACACAGTGAATGGATATGGGGATTATGATTCATCATCTGATCTGATGATTGGCTCTCCTTGCTGTAGCATCTTTGTATCTCATCCATTTAGTCCCAGGTTCAATTCCCAGCCATTCCCACATGTCGTGGTGTCTCTGAGCAAGACACTTAATCTCTAACTGCTCCCCGGGGGCTTCCATAGCTGCCCACTGCTCCACCTGGGTGTATCTCAGATGTGATGGGTTAAATGGGGAGAACTAATTTTGCTATTGTATGGGAACATACAATGATGACAACACATAGCACTTTTACTAAATATATATATATATATATATACACACACACACACAATATATTCTATATTATATTTGTAGGTTTGATAGTTGATTTGTCTGATGATGAGGAGGGCAGGTTCAAAGGGTGTGTCAGTGCATAAAATAGAGACCCTTTTTTGTAACGCAGAACTTTTTCTTCAAACTGTGTGTCCTGCTCCTACAGGCCGCCTGAAAGTCAACATGGGAAACATCTACTTCAAACAGAAAAACTACCCCAAAGCAATCAAGTTCTACCGCATGGCTCTGGATCAGATCTCTAACACTCACAAAGACATGAGGATCAAGATCATGCAGAACATTGGTGTGGTCTTTGTCCGCTTGGGCCAGTATTCAGATGCCATAACCTCTTTTGAGCAAATCATAAGTGAGAGTCCCAACATAAAGGCAGGCTTCAACCTGATCCTGTGCTACTATGCCATTGGAGACAGAGAGAGGATGAAGAAGGCCTTTCAGAAGCTCATCTCTGTTCCTCTGGGTATTGACGATGAAGACAAGTACATTTCTTCTAATGTGAGTTATCACCATGCACCGTATCTTATCTGTTATTATGAAGATGCTAACTTGTCATTTTTAAACTAAAACATCTCAAAATGCAGATTAAAACATGTTTATTGTTATTTAAACTTCATGATATTGCAGATGACCCAAATGTCCAATATTTTATTTAAATAACAGCACCTTTTTATTTGTTTTGCCGCTAAACATCAGATAAATATGAAGCCTTGACTGTTCGTCTCTTCTGGCTCTTTCAGGATGACACTAGCTTGAATATGGTGATTGAAGCCATTAAAAACGACAGGCTTCACCAAATGGAAAGAGATTTGTGAGAGAAATTACACTCAGTGCACAACGCATAGTGTTTGGTGCCTTTTTCCAATATATTACAAATGTTATCAAATAGCGTTTTTGTATTGATTTTTTGTTTTTCTGTTTGTGCTGTTTGTAGGAAAGTCCGGGCTGAGAGGTACATCATGACTGCAGCCAAGCTCATCGCCCCAGTCATTGAAACATCCTTTGCTATTGGATTTGACTGGTTTGTGACTTTTGTGCTTATTTCATCTTCAATATTTGATGAAAAGGTGCATGCTCAATAATCCTGGTAGAAAAATCTAAAAAAGTAAAGTCAGGTCCTCTGGACGGATTCTTCTGTGTGATCACTGGTCAGATCACTGGTCAGATCACTGGTCAGGTCACTGGTCAGGTCACTGGTCAGCTCACTGGTCAGATCACTGGTCAGATCACTGGTCAGGTCACTGGTCAG